AATTGAATTTTTCCATAGTTTACCAATGTTGATCCTTGTGCTGTTGCTAGTTTACTGGAGGTTTCAAGAGGCGTTAGCCTTGGGTGTAGTGATTTTATCTCATTCCATGTGGGAATGTTTATTATGTTTGATTCTGCTCCTGAATCAATTAAAAAATCAATTTCAAGATCTGGTGGTTGAAATTCTTTGCTTCTTGGACTTTCTAAAAGAAATGGTATTGTCCAAATTTTTTCTTTGGGTTGTTCTTTTTGTATATTTTGATAGATGTGATTTGTATTCAAACATTTAGTTTTGTCATTTTCATTGGGTAGATTTGTAGTGTTGATTTCGTTAGTTTTTTGTACCGTTTGTGTGGAATGGATGGGTTCAATATAATAATTGTGAAGGAGTTCTAATTGATTTTCATATATATGTGATGAAAAAGGTTGTTCATATATAATAGGTTCGTAATCATTTTCGACTGCTATCATATTTATGGTGATAGTGTTTTCTGTATCACTTTCTGAATCTGATGATTCACAGTTTATTTGATTTAGTTGTATTTCGTTATTTCCTGTGTCATCAATACCTGGGGGGTCTGATGTTGTTTCTGGGTTTGATTGTACTTGATTTATATTTCTTTGATGTTTAGGTGTACTACTTCTGTGGCGATTGTTAGAATTATTATAATGGTTATTATTCCTGTGTGGTGATTGGTTATAATTTCTATAACGATTATTATAACTTGAGTGTCGATTTTGTGAATTATTTCGTGATCTATTTTGATAATTATTGTTTGATCTGTGATAGTTTGATCTGTTATATGAGTTATTCCTTGATCGATTGTTCGGGTAATTCTGGTTTCGGTTGTTTGAATAACTTCTATTCCGATTATTGGAGTAGTTTCTATTTCTATTGTATGATGAATTTCGTGATTGATTGTTTGGATAGTAATTATTTCTTGATTGGGAATTAGATCTAGAAACAAATCGTGTTGTATTTGAATTTGATCTGGAGTAGCTATTTCGACTATTTGGTCTACTGTAATGATTTTGTGACGAATTTTGTGTATTTCTTCGTTCTGGTGATCTTCCTCTATAACTTGAGTTATATGGTGATTGATTACTCGTGTAGTTAGTATTGTTCGGAAGTGGTTTTCCTGAACTGTTGTTGCTGTATACATTTTTGTTCGGTAGATTTTGATCTTTCTTCATGTATTGATAGAATGATTTATTTGGTTCTTTATATTTTTGAGGTTTATTTTGGTTATCTTGTTGTTTTTGTCTACATTCAGAAATACTATGTCCGTATCGTCGGCAATAATTACACCATTTTTTGAAAGATGGTTTGCCTTTAAAGTTTGGGTGTTTTTCATAAATATTGAGTATTTCAGTGATTTTTTCAACGAGGTCTGAATCTGAATCCTGTATATTATTGATATTTGTGGTATTTGTTTCAATTCGATTAACATATTGTAATTTCAGATTTTCTGTTTCTTCAAGTTTCATTGTGATTTCCGCTTGTTCTAGCTGGTCTACTAGTTTTCGAAAATCTAAATCGGGCTCTCGAATTGAGGAGGGATGGGATTCTCTCTTTTTTATTGCTATTTTCCTTAATTGAGGTGTTAAGGTCATCATTAAGATTTCTGTCATCTTTGTGTTTTTATAATCGTGTGTATTTAATGAATATGCTTTTCGAACTAGTGTTTCGATGCGTACTGCTAATTGTTTGATGGTTTCATTTGGTAATCTGCGAATTTCATTACAAAAAACTCTTTGTTGTTGTTTGTTTCTTTCGGAGTCAAACATTTTTGAGAATTCTTGTGTAAATCTCTTCCAATTTGATTTAATTTCTATAGGCAATACTGAAAACCATTTTTGGGCTGCGCCGTCTAAGGTTGTCTGTATCAACGCTGTGCGTCGATGTATCCAGTTTTGATGTAGTGGCGTATTAATTGGTTCAGGTCCTATATTTAAAATTAAATTTGCTGTTACTGCATTTAAATAATCTTCTACAGAATATTCAGGGTCTGTTCCTGTGAATACCATTAATGGTTTATTTGACGTTATTGATGATCCGCCCATAAGGTATGGATTCATGGTCATTTGTAATGATTCTGCTGCATTTGGCATTTGTGAAAAATTTGAAAGCTGATTTTTTGTTATTTCGTGTTGTTGAAGGTAATATGGAAGTGGTATTTCATTTTGCATTTGTGTTGGTTGATATGAGTGTGTAATCATTGGGTTTTGTGGCTGAATTGGTTGAAAAGATTGTGTATTAATTGGGTTGTGCATTTGTATTGGTTGTTGATTTTGTGTATCTATCTGGTGTGGAGAAAAATTTCTATAATGTGTATATGGTTTCTGCATTCCTTGTCCGCGATATTCTTGGGTATATGGTGCAAATATATCTGGTCATGATGATGTAAATGATCATCATCAGAGGATAGATAATCCAATTGATGAGATGCTTGTTTTTTATTTTTATTCTGTTGAAAGAATGGGTAATTTTCGCTATGATCCTGTGGAGGATGTGGATTAGCTTGAAAATTTACTGAATTGGTTGTTGCCATTGGATTATTCCAATGTCGAGATCTGATTTGATCATTATTATTATTTCGTGGAGGATGGTTTGTTTTTGATGGATGTGTATAATTATAATTATATTCCGCAAAATTGTTTCTTGTGAACGTTCTGCGTGTTTTTGACGGTATTGTCATGGGTCTATATGTTTGGTAATCCATTTGTGAATATTTTGGAGCAACGGAAGGTTTAACAGTTGATTGTAAGGTTACCTGTGTTAGTGAAGTGTTTGTATTTCTTGGTTTTGTTAAATTTGGACGTATCGGTGAAATACTTTGTTGTGTAGTTGTTGTTGTTTGGACAATTTCTTCATTTATGAAGTGTGATGGTGTCTGGATATCTTGTTGAGTGAGGTTCCTAGTTCCATTAAGGTTTTCATTGTGTATGACGGTCGAGTTTAAACTGTTATTTCGTGTATCAGGTAAAAATGTTTTGTAGTTTATTGGTGTTGCATCAATGGTTAATGGTACTACTCTTACATAATCTCTTATATAAGATATTGTACTTATTGCTTGACTTGCAATTGATTGTGGGATATTTATAAATGCATAATGAGACCATTCGGGGTCTCAAACGTAGTCTGACTGTTCTGTGATGGCGGTATCATCATTTGAATTTTGAGGTCTAAAATTTTTTCTTGCTTGTGAAATTAAATCTAGATTATGTGTGAAATAATCTATTATAAATCATGCCAAGATTTTTTGTAAGTCATGTTTTGTATATTGTGAAACATCATCTTTAGTGAAATTTTCTTTATTTATATTTAGAAAAGATGAAAGTAGTGTGATTTCATGTCGTACCCTTATATGTTTAGATGTCTCTGTCGGTGAGACATTTGAGATTGGGATTTCGTTTTCTAATATTGAGATATAACTGTATATTATTGCAAAAACTTCATTAGTAAATATGGAGTTTGCTCTTTGTGAGTTATGATATTGTATGCTTTTTATATATTCTGAGAGTACGTTTGAAAATTCTAAATCAAGGTCGTCTGTTTGAATTACATATTTGCGGTGATTCGGGTTTGGTGAGCTTAATTCTATGGTGTAGATTCCGTAGTGTTGTGTCAAATTACATATATCTTTCAAATAGTGATATATAATTTGTCTTTTGATCTTTACATCTGGGAACTCTGTTTTACATGGGCTGTTTCCGGGTTCAAATAAATTTAGTAGTAAATTCTTGCAAAGTATATGCTGTCCTCTATCAGTGGGTGCATCTACGAGGAAGGGGAAGATATCGTCATCATCTGGACTATCTTCACTTGGAGTGTGTGTTTGGCTCATTTTTTCGTTTAATAACTGTTAATAAGTAATTATCGATTTGTCTAATTGGTTGATTCCAATTATACAAATGTACTGGTTTGTGTTTATATTGCTTTTTTATTCGTCTTTTTCCTCTTTTTGATGAATTTGAAGTTGTTTCTGAGTCGGAAAAATATAATTGATCGTGAATAGGGCAATTTTTATCTATAGATTCTTTTAATTTATAAAGTTCGTCTAAATTGCTGGCTTCTGATTCTGAAAATGTGTGTCTATTTTTGGAAAATCTTTTTCGTGTTATTTGTCTTTGTTTAGTTATTATTTTTCTTTTTAGTGTTTGTCGTTTTGTTCTAATGTATCCAACTGTTTGTGTATGAGGTGTGATTACAAGATCGTATTTTTTGTTTTCTATTTCACAGTTGTGCAAAACGATTGTTTGTTTGTTTCCTAGATTTTTAAATGACATAAGGCTTAGGATGACGGTTGCAAAGGGTTGTTAGATGATTTTTATTTTCTTAAATTGTTAGTCCTTACGATTTTTTGGTTAGCTTAACCTGGGTCTATTTTTCAGGGTTGGAGAGAAGAGTATATCGATTCCGAAGAATGATTTTTTACTTTCTCGTGGCTAGTATAAGCTAAGGTGTTAACTTACTTAATCTTACTTAAGGGTGGTGATTGTGTTCAAGGGTTGGAGAATAGTAAATCGATCCACAAGGTTCAGGTATAATTAGAACGCGAGTAGTTCGTTAGATACTATTTTAAACTTACTAAGTCTAAGATTTATCCTGGGTCTGGTAAGAGGGGGGATCAAGTGAAGGATGAATAACCGAAGTTCTTCACTGTTTATCCTAATTTGAATGATTAGTTTTGTTCAAAAATTTCTGTTAGTCCTGGGTTTTTAGAAAGGGTTGGATAGTGAATCGACGTTTGAGGTCGTTAGACACTAGCTAAGTGGGTGGGGGAGAACAAAATTGTTCTTTTTGATCCAAGGATAGGCCTTGATGATCAAGTTTTAAATTTTAATTAAATAGAAAGTGAATTTAGATCCAAGGATAAGCCTTGATGATCTGGTTTGAAAATTAAGTGAATTTAAGTTTAAAATGGTTTAAATTTGTTTAAGAAAATGATTTAGTGTTTTAATGATATTAGTGAGCTTATGATTGCTGTTATGTTTTAGGTGATGAAGCTGAGACAACTGGTGATCTTATGATTACTAACAATTTATTGTCATGCTACTAATTTTTGTTTTGTTTTTCAATAAATATTTTCCAAAAATGTTTTATATAATACTGCAGAATTTTGAGGGAAACGATCTGAGATCTTTTTATCAATCGTTATTGTATATTAATATTTTGTTTAGCGCCTGTAATGATCATGAAGTTTTGACTTCAAAATTTTATGTTTGCAAATGAAAATCTAAATTCATTGCTAATAAAATTCTAAATATAAAAGTTTGTGTTGGCTTTTGCCGTACTATCATATAGCTATCTGGTAAGTTTCTACTTTGTCGTATGTCGTCTCTGGTTCGAGGTCTTCTTCCAATTCCGGGTAGTTCTCTTATCGTTCGGAATATTGGCTTTGATCTATTGAGTCGTAGAGACATTTCGATTAAATTATCGTCGTGTAACATTTTAAAAATGTTTTGTCTAAATTCTAATCTATTTTTGGTTAATTCTAAGCTATTAAGGTCTTGTTCGAGACTTATGGTCGCACCAGATGAGTTAGGACCGAAGTGTATAACTCATAGAGTAATTTCGGATAGGGTACACCGTCTGCTCGTCACGCTATCTTATTTTCGGCCGGATAGATTCGTGCAACTTCTTAGTCTAATACCGATCCTAATCTTACTCTTATACTATCTAGTCTCAGGTTGTTTAACTAGTCTCTGCTAGGCTCAATAGATCTAGGGTATACTGGTTTATTGCGGCTGCTGAAGTCTTCTTGGAGAGTCAACTAATTTCTAAGTTAAATTCAAATCTCTCTGGTGCTGAAATTACAAGTAATTTCAGCACTTACAAATAAGTGGGTTGTTAGTTAGATGGATCATGATTGGTTAATATTAAATACTTTACAGTGGTAAAATATCTAATTTATCCAATCATAAAATGTAGTTTAGATCAGGTTCCACAATGATCAGCGTTCTAGCACGGGTTTTTTTACACTTTTTTTTTTTTTTAATTTTAATTCACTTTATCCATTTCAGTCACTATGCCTACCCACCTACTCACTCAGGGGCCTTTGAATCTAAGAGCCTTTGAAACTGGGTGGGGTTACACTAAGAATTTTTTTCATATATTTTTTAATTTTTTGCTATGGCGGGAACCGGCTGCTGTTGATGGTTCAGAGCTTTCGAAAATAATCCGGGTTAAGCAAAAGGTGGAACTCTAGACCATATCCCTGAGTTTTTTGTTCTTTTTCTCGCCAAATTCTTTCACAAATGTTCTACATAAAATTCGTCTTTAAAATTAATACATGAATAGTACTTTATATTTTAAGATAATTGAACGTTAGAAGAAGTTGTTTACACTTCTTATGTGAATAAGTTTCAAGATAGAGAATTTTTGATATGATGGTCAACCTCGGAATAAGAGTTTATTTTGTTGCTTTGTGTTATGCTTAGGCATGACTTCGGTGTTGACTCACAGTGCAATGACTACAGGAAAGGATGATGACAACTCGATGAAGTTACTCGTGGCTGTGTTGAATGGGGTACTCTCTGTATGGACGGCCGCACAGATGAAGCTAGGGTGAGAGAGAATTTGTTTTACATAAAACCCCTCCCTTGATAGCTTACTACTTCCTAAACAAGTTTTTTGTGGGTAATAGTGGCGAATAATTTATAAGCCATTGTCTCGGAACTTCATAAACTTCACCCAATTTACTTAAATCGTATTCGAATTAAGCACTCAACAAATGCGAGCAGGTTTTAAAGACAGCTCACATTAACTGCGATAAGAAACAATTGCTCTCAATCGAAAATGCTAGCTTAGATAATCGCTACTACCCTCTCGGCTACTACCCTCTCGGCTACTACCCTCTCGGCCAACAAATAACCTCTAAGTTAAGCCGCCTCTACTCAATGATTCCATCGCAGCCTTCAGCGCTGAATACTTTTCCGGAAATCACACAAGCCATCGAACAAATCAAATCAACAGTCTCCATTCAACCAAAGGAACTATCGTTTCGTTTTGTGAGAGTCTAGTGGCAACTCGCTGAAGAGATATCAGATTCAAAGGAGAACTTGAAGTTGTTAAAATAACCTCAAATGAAACATTTGTTCAATCAAGCTTCTCGGAGCTCATGCAGACGAAATATCAGCTTATCCACCATCTAACAAAAAGTCTTCGATACTAAAACAGGGGAGAAGTTACTAGAAGTTCTAGAACGGGATGCACAAAAATGAGTCGTCGGGATGCCTCAAGTCAGCAAAAGGCAATTCGAAGACATCAGAAGCAATGTTTGCTCACACACAAACTTCTCACACAGCTCACAAACTAACCTACAGCCTTTCAGTATCAACGCTAGCCATCCACACTTCTTTTTTAACTGTTCGAACAAATCAATTTGCCTTCCGCGAGCCAATGAAAATCAACTAGACATTGCATGGCATGGCCATTACACTCTTTCGAAAACACAAGAATTGGTCCAAAGCCGGTTAAGATTTTCGCCACAAAGATAGCCGAATTTTCCAATTTCCGAAGCATCTTCAACTCCAACTTTAACTTTCCAACTTTTAACTCGCTGTTCCTCTCTTCAAGCAAACAACTACTGCAACAAGGTCGTATTTTTATCAATAAACGATTCTAGCGGGAATACACATACCCCATTATTTGAATAGATTTTCTGCCAAATTCAAGAATTCAGCCACTCCTTAAACGCTTAATCTCCTTTTGATGTTATGAATCATATCTCACGTTTTGTAATTCACCCTTTAAAATAAATTCATTGTTTTAGTCAGGGGTGGATGTAGGATTTTCTCGAGGGGAGGCGGATTTTCAAAAAAAACTTTGAAGACCTTTTTTTTGATTTTCCGAGCTCTCCTAAGCACTAAAAAGACGCTGTTTTGGCAAATTTTCTGCGCCGTAGGCAAATTTTTGAAAAAACAGGTCAAAAAAGCCGTTTTGGGCACTTTTTGGAAAATTTTGACAAAAAAATGCGTTTTATTTTGGCGCGCGCTCCCCCTCAGAGTTAGTATTATTGGCGCCAAAGGCGCCTTTAGAAAATTTTTAGAGCCAGTCGGCCAAAAATGAATTTCCTAAAAAGGGTCGGCAGGGTGTCGAACCCCTGAGGGAGGGGGGGGGGGCGTCCGCCCCCCGCCCTTCCCCTAAATCTGCCCCTGGTTTTAGTGGTGATATGTTTTTGATAGATTTTTATCAAAATTTTTTGTTCCGACTATTCTGTTTTTCAAGCTTTTTGAGGCCAGAAGTAGCCAAGAAAATGAAATTTTCAGATCTGAAATGGCCGAGAAAAAAAAAGCCGAGAAACAAAACTCTCAGCTTGTTTTACTCGATACTGAGACAAAGTGTTTTTGTTTTTTATTGCAATCCGACTTCAAAAAACCACCTATGTGAATTGTAACCCTATAAGCTAGTTTGGGAAGAAAAAACACACTACTATATAGTTCGTTACCAGCCCCTAGGGGTTGTTCAGAACAAAAAAAAACGAAAACGAAAACTAATTGAGGTAATGAAAGTGATGGTTAAAATCTCAGTCATATTTATGTCTGTTCAAGAAAAAAAAACAAGCTTCTATCATTGCTGACATAGATACCAAACGGTGGCATACTATATATCATCATGTTTAAAACATCGAAAACTTAGCGCTTAAAACGCTAATACTGATTTGTTTCTAAAACAACTCTTAAGCATAGTTGAATTTGGTACAAAAATTAGTATCATGTAATTTGTGCGGAATTCACTAATTGAAATACAGATAATTTGTTCAAATTGAATTAATAAATGAGTCATGGTAAACAAATTGAGAGCAATTTAAGACTCGTAGCCAATAGTTTTATACACTTTATAACAAAAAAAAACTTTAAAACTTTCCAAAAACATGCTCTTTTTTGAAATAACCTTTCTTGAGGCAATTCTATGCAACTCAAAAATTTTTTAAAAAAACTACATGTATAGATACTTTAATAAACGACGGAAAATGTATGTTAATAATAATTTTTAAAAGAGTCAAGTATGTTGCTGCCTTTCCTTTGCTGATACCCAATTTATTTTACAGCTAAAATCACTGTGTTCCTATCTTCTTCATCATGGCTGATATCATGATTGATTTCTTAAACTAAATTCTTAGCAAAATTCGACGATTTTGAATAACTTTGAAAGGAATATATAAAAAAAACAGTTTTATTGCATCAAACTTTGAAATTCAATTGATTTTTGATGTATACGTTTGCCCACACAAAATTCATAAAACATTTTTACAGGTTGAGCGAAATCTTCATTCAATATCTTTTTTTGATAATAATTCTTCATTTTCATAATTTTCATAAGTTTTCAAAAAATTTTAATATTCAAAAAACTTTTGCGGTTTAATTTCTGCTATTACAATTTTTCGGTTGCACTGGTGGTAAGCAATTTTAGACTGCCTGCAAATGACATTCTCTTTTTCCGTTATTTCTTCACTTCAAATCGATTGCATCAAAACTGGAGTTATATAGCTTTTTGTGTTCCAAAACAAAATTTGGCAAGTTGCTGCGCAAATTACTAAAATCGAAATGTCACAGCCGAACCTTCCGGTGCACAATGAAAAAGACGTTAAAAGCCTTAATCACGACATTTAGATGAAAAGGAGATTCAGAAGATTCAAGAATTTGAATTTTCAGTTTTTCGATTGGGATTGAATTATTTTTTGAAAAATACTAGATCCGGTCGTTTTGACAATCGATTTCAGCGTGTCAAAAACACAATAATAAAATATGAGAAGAAAGAAAGTCAAGTAAAGAAATTAGATAATAGAATCGAAACGAAGCCTCCCATCGTGCACCAAGACACGATAAGAAGCTTATTCGTGGAAGGAAGCGAAACCGCATGGTCCAGTGGGATATTGGGGACAGCTCCAAACCCTCCTGAGCATTAAAAGATAAGGGACAACTGGGAGAAGTTGGAATTAGATGCCCGGTGCCAAGAGAGTCTTCCAACAGACATTAAACCTCTTTTAGCTTAACTCAATATTGATTTGGTATTGCAGAGCAAGATTAGTTAGGGGCGGGAAAAGGGTCAATCCATCTCTAATGGACCTTATATATGTCACTAAAAAGGTATCTAGTTTAGGATTCTAGCCGTGTTTTTAGTAATAATCACCTTGTCTGGGGATCCGAGACCCAGCTATGAGGTTATTTTTGAGGTTACGAAATCTGATTAATGCACATTACAATAACGATGATGTAATAGCTAATAGAACAGTTGATTGTAAAGGATTAAAACTGGATTTCAGACTTAATTCAAATTTCTATCAGCTCATTCGACTCTGATCATCTAGTTTAGACTGAATAAAGAAAACATTGTTTTTGAAAAAGTTCATTTCGCATCCATTAATAAAAAATCTGACGCTGTAGCTCTACGATCTTTCTATGAGGTAATCAAAGTTGGGAAGAAAAAACCCACTCAGCCATAGTTTTTCAACAGCCCATTGTGGTTCTTCAGAACCGAAAAAAAAACGAAAATGGAATGAAATTAAATCCGGTCTTCCGGGGTTGAAATTTCAGTCGAATTTATCGTTGATCCAGGTCAAAATTAATGTTTGTCACCGCTGATTTAATTCCTAAAAAGTGGTATATAATTTATAATTAGGCTTAAGACATCGAATGGTTAGAATGCCGATTTAAGCGTTGAAGTATCTCTTATCCAGATATGCATTTTTGGGACCATTGGTGATCACATTTTGAATCAGCGCTGGTGTGACTTATCGGGTTAATCTGCCTCTTAAAAATCTGCTGAACCTTGTGCTTTTGATTTTACATTTGGACAACAACAACATGGATTCCGGAATTGATAGTCAACTTGTTTGCAACATTACAAGATTTAAACAATTTGAGTTCAGTATTTCTACTTACGTTTGTTTGTTTTTGTTTTCGGCTAGATGGAACCAGAAGTATCAGTCGGCCAACTCGACTCTGATCAAGTACAGAGACATGAGTGGAAGAGTGGCCATGTTGTGTCTCATTCTCGACTGCCAGAAGACCAAATGTGAGTCCAGATAGATTGTTCATAAAGAGAGTTATAAATTATTACTTTGGTTCAAGATTTCAATCGACAAAAAATGTGTGTTTACTAAATAGAATGAAATCAGACCCCGACCGAAGTATGCAATATGCAGTAGGCAATATGGGTTTTTAGTTGCTGTGAGTGTCGATGCGCGATACTTGTATTGCCCCTATCACAATAAACTCACGCGACTGTGATGGATGACGATTGTTTGCAAGGAGAATAATTTATTACAGAATTTTTTTTGATGCAATATTTATTAGGTTTTGACAAAAAAAGTTTAGTTTTTGGCCTGCGCTCTTTCTCAAATATACCCGCTCTGACAAAATTCCGATGGATTTTAGTGAGTCGGTAAATCCATCGAAATCGATTTAAATCGATTTTTTAGACACTTAAATCGATTTAAAATTTTCAAAAAAATCGAATTAAATCGGTTTAAAATCCATTTGAGTTCGTAAAATGGTCATGGTTAAACACTTTAAATTGATTTAAAATCGATTTAAAATCGATTTAAATCGACCGGAAACCATTTCTGTCAGTGCGGGTATGATAATATTACAATTAAAGTTGCAACTATTATGTTTGCTTTGAATTGCAGCAGCCGTTGGCGTTGTGGAGTTCATCAACAACTGTTACGAGAACGAGAAAAACATCATGCAGAGTGAGATTGCCATTCCCACCTTCATCGCCCGCAAGTACAGGAAGGCAGCCATCTCCAAGGTACGAAACATTTGAAGAAAGGATTTTAGTTAGTTTCTGAGTAGTTGGTTAGGACGATTTATCCACAAGGGAAAAAACAACATAGGAGCCTGTCAGCTCTTTACAGAGAATCGCTGTTGAGCCCCTGTAGAAAAAAGAGTTTTGCCTTATATTCTTTTCATTTAAAATACAAAAATGCTATAATTGATTTTGAATTTTCTTAGTTTCTTAGTTTTCAAAATTTGTTTAGTTCAACTTATGGTGAAATTGGTTGTTAAATTTTGGCGGATGGCATGGTCTGATTTCTGACTTTTAAGACAACTTTTAATTGTCCGTATGCTAAGATCCTATATGTCAGATAATAAAAATACGGCAAACTATTGCAAACATTCAAAAAAATCCTTCACTATGGCAAAAAAAAAACACATTCTTGTTCCGACTTTCGAAGAAAATAAAATAATTAGGCTTGAAGTGGTTTTTATTCAGTCAATTTTCAAAAAAAATTACCAAAAAATCAACAACAAAAATTATGCACCATTGAAAATATTGGCTACCTGATTCAAATTCAAAAAAAAAGATTTTACCTGCGATCATTTTTTGCAAACTTTTGGGAGTTTAAGAACTGACAATTTGGCCATGCTCTGGACTAATTTATGCGCGCTTTGTAGACATTAACAATCCATAATTCTGAAAGCAAAAAAATTGAATGAAATTATAACAAATGCTGAAGTCAATCATTTATAAAAAAAGAGTTACTGTCTTCAACTTGAGGCCGATACGAAGCGGACGTGTGTCAAAACAAATATTCGAGCACTTTCAAAATTATATTTTGTTTCAAAAACTAATATTTAAATACTTTATCTATTAGTTTCTCCTGAATTGGCTGTTCAGAAACTTTTGGTTGAAATTGGTTGGTTCTTTGCATATTAAAAAATAAAAAATTATTTTTTATCGTTGATATTGTCACGTTGTTTTCTTCGTTGTCATTTGTGTAGGAAATGCTCTGTGAAACAATTAATATGTGCCTTAGCAGTCGATGAACGTAGTTGAAACTCTTATACAGTTCACAACTGTTTGTTTTTTTTTCAGGAAAAATCTTAAAGTTTGTTCAGTCTCAAGTTTTCTTCGTCACAATTTGGACTTTTTTTAAGTGCAAGTCTTTTCCTTTGTTAAACGGAAGGCAAACACCGCTATTGAACAGCGAAAGTTAAATGTCACGAAAAACTGAAAATGGACTTGACGGAGTGACTAGAACCAATGCATGCTATGCTGAGAAAACAACTTGGTTGAATAGGCGACATGAAAGATACTCCAAACAAATTATCATTTATGTTTTTACCGCTTTAAATAAAATTTTCCAAAAATTTGTTTTATAAAAAACTTCACACCCCACATAAAAACTGTGAGTACAGAATATTTGTGTTGGGGTGGTCATTTTCCCTCGAGACAAACTTCTACTCCCTAGTTAGCCTTTTTTAAAGTTTTTTCAAAATGCCAAAAGTTATTAATGTTCGAAAATCAACTTTCAAAATATAGTTAACCGGTAGTTTATAGTAAAGGTATAAGGGTTTGAAAAGAACCAGCTTCGTGAGTTGGGTGCCATAAACGCGATATATTCAGATTGATATTAACACATGAGCGGCTACTTGTTCCGACTCAGAAATTGATTCAAGTAAAACTGTGACTTGCTAGATTTTCTCATTAATAGTTACTGCAGGCTGACTATATCACTTTAAATTTTAAATAGCGTCCAGGGAGACAACTACCAAAAAAATTAGTAATAATTTTTTTTATAAAGAACAAGTGTAACTTGAGAGGAATGTAATGTGATTTGAGAGGAATGAGATACAGGTTTTGCAAAAATTGACTTTGAGGGCTTATTGAAGTGGCCGAATTTCAAAAAAAGCGAAAACATAATGAGTCCGGGTCTGAGTGATAAATGTACAAATAAGCTATTCCATTAGAAAAATTTTTTCAAAAAAGAATTATTTTAGCGTGCTTGTTGGAATACATATTTTTTGCGTAATCTTTTTTCAAAAAGCTTTAAATGGCCTGGGGGATTATCTACTGTAAGATGCTTAAGGGTCGGGAAGCTTGTACGTCTGATCCTGACTGTTTTTTGAAAATTATTGAATGGTATTCCATAGACGTTTAATGGCAAAAGGAACATTAAGTTGCCCTGATCTGAGAACTCTTGAATTTGTCATTTATTAGTTTGATCTGTTTGTTACAAAACTTACAAGATAGTCCCTTTGTTTGACAATCTAATTTAAAAAAAAACAGGTTTTCACTATAATTCCATCATATTTCAATGGCAATTATGTTTTTGTTTTGTCGTTTGGTTTTTGACATTCATACATAGATTTTTGGTTTTTGAAGTCGCATAGAGTTTCAAGGCCAAATTTTGCGCGACTTATCAGAAAAATGTATGGCATGACATGCTATGGACACCAATTCTGGGTGCCAGTTCAGCTTTCAAAGAATTCACCAACTTTTTTAAAAGGTATTCGCTTGCAATCCAGGTTTAAAAAATCCAGGTGTTTAAAGGATTTATAACCAATAATAAGTTTAAAATTTTCTTAAAAAAATATGTATAATTTCGTAAAATCGTTATTTTTAGTTATAATTTCTGAAAAAATCACTCCAAATTGGTTATATTAGATTAAGACCTCTGTCGTTTCACCAAAAACATTGGCTATCCTAAATCACAAATCGGTAATTTATTAATTCCAGGGTGGCAGTAGATCACAATCCAGAATCCAATCCGGACGGGTATCCAGGGCCTCCAGAGAGGGAACCCTTCAGAATCCCCAGTTGCGAGGACTGACTGAGAATGTTGAGATGGGAAATTTGGCCCAAGGTAGTTATTATGTTTCTGAGTTTTTGTTGGGTTAAGTTGCATTATGATTAATTTGCTATCTTGACCAATTTTTTCTCAATTCATAAATAAGTATATGAGAACAGATGTTAAACTATTGTTCAAATAATCATTTTCTGTAATTTTCCAAACAAGAAATTTTTAATATGATGATTAACGATGGAACACCTTTTTTATCATTTGTCTATCGTTTGCCCAAAACTTGTTCTTCAATGGCAAAAAAGCTAAAACTTTTACGATATTAATTGATGGTTTTTGTAATTGAAACCAGTTTGGGAGCAAAAAATAGCCAAATGATAACAAATGTGCGCTCTGTTCAATTTTCATTGCATCGGAATAAGTGACTTTTTGAATCAGTATTTCCGGACAAAAAAATAAGTGATTCGTCTCATAAGTGAATTCGTTTCCCGTCTCATGATTTAAAACATACTCTCATCGTACTTGATAATTAAAGTTCAATTTCAGATGGTAAGCTTGCCAATAATAGTGTGAGTCCTGCAGGGATTAACAAGGGTGGACAGCAGGAGGAGGAGGCGAAGGGGGGCCAAGGGGAGGGAGGGGGACTATCGAAGAGTGTGTCCATGACATCCATCAGTGCAATTTTGTCTCAGAGCGACAAGAATCTGGACAGCAGTCTTCTGCTGGGTAATTAATCATTTTGAATCAATTTAAACAGGTAAAAAACTGAGAGTGCTGTTAAAGTAGAAGCGTTGTAAGCCAATCAGAATCGAGATAATAAAACAAACGTACGAACTATTTCCTGTTCTCGATTCTGATAGGCTTATGACGTGTCTTCTTTATGGCCTGTCGTCGTACCTTTTGCTACGTTACCAAAATTGAAGTAACAGTAACTGAAACGAGAAATAAATCGCAATTTATTTAAACTTTATGTTAACAGTACGAAATACAGTCACTCATTTTGCCATTCGTGAATGTCTTTTCATTTAGTATAAAAACCGAAAAAAAAATGAACTAAACAGTACTGTTACTTAAACTTTGGTGAAGTTTAGTGTCGTATTTGTTCCCAGGAAACAGTTAAACACATGGTACAGTTCGTGAAGTTCGCTATTTCTTGTACGAGGTTCTTTCTAAAGCTACTCCGAAATTCGCTATGCAGTAGATAGAAAATAAACTTTAAGCGTGATTGGAAATTTTTATATTTTCTATCCTATGTTTTCCTAGGAGCGAACCAGTTACACACTGAAAAGTTTCGAGACTTGGGCCTTCTTTTAGCAACCGCAAATTTACGGAGCTTTTCTGAGAGTTTTCAAAAACCCCGAATGAACAAACAAGTAGAATCCTCCAGCAAAACTTTAAGCGAAAAACAAAGAGTTACTGTACAAAGAAGTCAATACTCTAGGTTTTTGCTATTCTTCCCAGATGGGTTTAATTATATTTTTTTTTCATCAATTTTGTTTAACAAAAGTTCTATTAATGAAAACAAATTTATTACATTTTCAGGCGTTCTTCTGAAGCGTTTCCGTAATCTGAAGTGGGTGTACAGCTTCACAGCCAAGTACTACTACTTCCTCAATCTAGGCTGTTTCTACACTCCCCTGCTGGTATTCGGCACTACCAACACCATCTTAGCATCCATCATCATAGACGAATCTGCCGACAACATCTCGTCCCTGGTTATCAAAATATCAACTGTCGTGTCAGTCCTCACAGGTAAGTCATTCGACCATTGTCTTTTTGAAGTACATGACTTGAAATTGCATGTTTTATTAGGATCAGATTTAAAGCTATTTCAGCATAAAATCCTGGAACAGTAGGAACCAGGCGCGGATCTAGGAATTTCTCGAGAGGGGCGGATTTTCAAAAAGAATTGAAAATTTTGTCGACCTTTTTTTTTAGGTCGACCAAATTGATTTTCTTAGCTCTCCGAAACCACTATAAAGACCTTGTTTTGGTCAAAATTTCTGCGGCGCGGGCAAAATTTTGAAAAACAGACCAAAAACAGCGTTTTTAGGCACTTTTGGAAAATTTCGACCAAAAAATCGCGTTTTTTTGGCGCACGCTCCCCCTCAAAATTAGAATAGATTGGCGCTAAAGGCGCCTTTAGAAAAATTTTAAGGTCAGTCAGTCCAAAATGGATATCCCAAAATGGTACAAAGGGGGGACCCTTTGGGTCGGCATGGGGTCGAATCCCTAAAGGGGGGGGGGCGTCCGCCCCCCTGCCCCCTTCCCCCTAAATCCGCTACTGGTAGGAACTAGATCCAAAAGCGTTAAATACGTATTTTTTTCAAACCTGGAAAAGCAAGCATGCGAGCGCCATGAAAACAGAAATAAGCTACCGTTACACTGTAGCTTTTGGCACCAGATCAACGAATGCCAAAGAAAATGAACTGAACCGGTTTAAATAGACATGGAAGAAAATCGAAAACAATTCATTGGCGATGGATCTCAACATCAAAAAGCTAAGGCAAGAACTGAAGGTTATTGAATAGAAAAAACTCAAATTTGTCTTCAAAACGTAAGAAAATCCTGTCACTTAATTTTCGCTGAGAAAACGAAAAAAAAAACAATCTGAAAAGGCGCGGATTTATAACTGTAATAAAATGCTACTGAGAAAAAAAACTCCAATTAAATTTGGGTTGAGAGAGGAAATGAGCTAAAGTAAAGATAACTACGGAAAGAATAATAAAACATGGAAGCAGTTGATGAAAAAGAACTATTATATTTGAAACTACCCGGGTTGACAAAAAATGGTTATCATACATTTTTCATATATGAAAAAAGTGCTTATCATACTCTTTCATAAAATTTCATAGAGTAAAAGTGTATGTATGAAAATAGCGAAGTAAGCATTTTGTCCAATAATGAAATTGTATGATAAGCATTTTTCCATTCTTTGAAATTGTATGATAAGCGTTTTTTCCATGCTATGAAACTGTATGATAAGCATTTTTACCATATATGAAAATACAAAAAAAAATTTGTTTCGAAATTTCGTCTTTCAACCGAAACACTAACCAAGTATTTTTTGTCTTGAGAAAACCCAGAGTGTAACTGGCAGTTACCTCACAGATAAACTGCATTTGGTGGTTTTAGCCAAAAAAGTTAATTTTTACATTTTCACATGAAAATATTTACCAAAAAAGTAACTTTTTCAATATGGCTAGATATTTTTTTAGTTTGAAATTATGATGGTTGAGAGAAAAAGTCCTTTTTTTGCAAATTTGTTTATCTTGTAGTAAATGAAATAAAAGATAATAATCGTGTTTACAACAAAAAAACAGTTTCTTGTGATTTTTGGATTTTTTGGGTGAGAAACTCATTCTGGACTGCGTTATAAACACAAATTGTCAAATTTTGCATGCAAATTTTTTTTTCATAAAACTTATATTTTAATACAACAGCAAGTTTGCAGCCAAAAAAGGGATAAAAAAGTTTTTATCTCAAATTTTTATTTTTGTTTATGAAAAAATGCATATCATACAATTTTCAATTATGAAACTTTTATGATAAGCATTTTTCTGACTGAAATTATTATTATGTTTTTGGTTGTCAAAAAACCCTCTATCATAGATATACTTATTTAAATCTATTTAAAGTTATCCAGACACGTTTTTTGGTGATTTTTGAAAATTTTTATTTTTTCTATGACAAAATGACTACTTTATAATTTTCATAAATTAAAATTGTATCAAAAGCATTTTTATAAAAAAAAATGTAAATCATTTTTAATGACCAAAAAACTTCAAAATAAGCAATTAGACCAAAAAAAATGTTCATTAAAAACTTTTAAAACTTTTTTTAAATTTTTTATGAATTTTCTTTGATAAGCATTTTTTCCATAGACTTTAAATATGAAACAGTATGATAAGCATTTATCTTCTATGGACGTCAACCCGGGTTTTAAAACTATTATATCAACTGTGGCTAACTAAACAATTAAAGAGAAAAAAGGAGGTTTTAATATATTCAGCGAGATGCCTGAAAACAAGACTAAAAAGCGACAGCATAACGAAGAGTCAATGGTAAACCCTTTTAATGAGTTTTCTTCTATTTTTTCTAGAATAAATGAGAAATAGAAGCAAGACTCAAAGTAACAACATTTGAGTTCAACGGCCCTGCTGCCAATCGATACTACATAAGTTTAAAAAAAGCTTTATCAAAAGAAAAAAACGCAGTACAGAAATTTTAGTTTGAACCATGTTTATCTAAAAAGGCTTTTGTCATCCTGTGAATTCCGACACATAATTATTTCGAAAAAGTATCGATAAAAAACAATTTTTCAAAAACAATTTAAAGTAGCAAAATTTAGCGATGCCATCTGGGCTAGCAAATTTTTTGATTCTTTTCTTTCTTTCTGCTTTGTAAAATTAACTTTTGATTTTCTTGAAAATTTAATGATTTTTCAAAAAGAAAAAATTTAGATTCACAGCAAAAAGAAGTAGCAAATATGCAAGTGCGACAACGATTGAACCAGTAAGATGCGACTAGGAGAATCAAAATCAATCAAGCAATGATATACTTTGAACTGAAAAGATTTTGACATAATACATCGAGAAATATTGCTTCAAAAAAATTGTTGATTGAAATTGAGAGGTCCCGTATTTGATCTGTTAAAAATTTTATTCAGATTTATTTTCAAACTTTTATTTAAATAGGAAAGTTGTTATTCGTATGAAACGTTATGAATCAAGCTCCGGAACCTAAAAAAAATATGCTAAAAGACTTCTATATGCCGACTTCATTGCAATTTCAGCTACCTCTATCGAACAAGTCGTGCTAAATCAAAACATGCAAAGTGAAGTTGAGGAGACAAGTAAATGGCTCGAGAAAACATACTAGCTCATAACAATGACAAAACAAAAAAAATAGTATCAAAAACAACAGATTCAAAATAAAAATGGAATAACAAATGAATGAAATGGTAAAGGTTAAAAGGGTTTTTAGATCATACGGTTGTCTCTGATCAAAATTTTAACAGGCGAAAAAAATATATTTTAAAAAACAGATAGTACCCATCAAGAAAATTCTAGTTCTGTTTCATCGTTTTAACCGAAAATATGTTTTATTGGGGTGCGGTCAACTTCTCATTAATATTTTTATATTGGCAACAAAACTCACTTCGAAGTTTTTTTGAGTTCACTTTGAAAAAAAAACACTTAGTTTGATTTAGAGAAAAAAAACTGAGGCATTTTCGATTTGCGGAAAAACCAATTGCGCATAATTCTCATGTTGTGTGAACATGCATCAATCGAAGTGATAAATGGTTTAGAGATCAACCGCGAAGTAACCTAGCCGCAGTATTAGTAATTTTTCCGCGGCAAGTAACCTTGCCTAACTTTTCAACGCCATTTACAGCTAGATTTTGGTGATAACCTTAAAATATCTAGGGTTTGCCAATATACCAAAAAAATCTTGCAAAATATTAGACGAAGCAAACAAGAACAGCCAATTACTGTACATATGGCATCCAATGGTCCCACTAAATTTAACTTATTAAATCTCGCTTTTTGCCATTTTTTGTACACTCGTATATATCAAACTATCAATGGCTTCATCAGCGAAAACCTGATATGTCGGCAAACTTCAAACTTATTTTAAAAATGAAAAAAATGTAAACAAAAATTGTATGGCGAATTGTTTGACAAAAAACCAATTATTGGAAAAAACTTATCTTTTTGCCACGAGGCTGCTCTTATATCAGGCCAAAACACTGAAATTTCCGACTGCCCCTTAATTGCTATCGGTTAGTTTTCGGCAAAGAAGACATTTAAAAATCATAAACTTCGATCATTATCAAAAACATGTGTAAACTCTTCAGAAGCAGAAAAGTTAAAAAGTAATACGACCGATAGCTTGCTTGGTTCAATTCAAATTGAAACGATGTTTTAATGCAGGATAAAAAGCTATGCATAAAAAATTGCGTTACAATTTCTGCATAGAAATAACCTAAAATTTCACAGCCCGCATTAGTCTAATGCATGACCAGCTCTGTACTTTTGAAACTCCCAGAATTTAGCATAAAATAAACGAAGGTAATTATCTTTTTCCATTTGAACTCAAAAAATTGATATTTTCAATTGGGTATAAAAACTTTTTTTGATAAAAATAATAATTGCAATCGCCGAAACTTGACTGAAGAAACAAACCAACCCACGCATAGATTTTCCGCAGCTCTTCGAAAGTCAAAAACCAAAAAAAATGAGTTTTTGTTGCCTGAGGATTCTATTGTATAAAGCTGAGAGCAAAGTTTGCATAATTTGAACCGTTACTATCTCCCAGTGACCTTGATGAATTCCCGGCAACTTTCAAATCATTTCGTGCTGCAAGACTGGTAAGCTTGCGACACCAGAACGCAACATCAGTCCGGTTATCTGATCGACTATTTACCTGACCGACGAGCGCGCGAGTTTGGTCCGGGAATTGAGGGTCCTTGAGGAAAATTGGGCGAAAAATTTTCCTTGTTATTCTGCATTGCGTCTTGCTTCCCAGACAACATTTGGAAGTTCATCCTCTAGTTAGTTCCCTAAGATTTGACCAACTTTTTGCCAGAAAAACGGGAATTTAAAAAAAGAGGACGAAAAAATTAAAATTTTAAGTTCTAGGTTGCTTCACTTTAACTACATAGCCAAACGGTTTTAAGCCCGTACATTTTTCAAATCGCGTATACAATAGCAATGTATCGTTTCAAAATTTTTCCTTTTTTCACATCA